ACCAGAATACCCTTCACCTTTCCCTTTTTCTCCCTCTTATCCGATCAAAAGGTCTACAATTTTCAATTTTTATGTGCATTTTAAACCATTGGGATTATTTCAAAAGAGAGAAAAAAAAAACATTGAGATGAAGAAATAAATATTAAAATATAAGTTTCAACCTAAACCCTAAAATTATGAGTTTGATTTAAATTTTTTTTATTTAGTCCATTTGTGCTTGAAGTTGTTAGATATACTTCTTAATTTTTCAAGTCGGTCAATTCTTAAAAATTTAAAAATTACGTGGTAGGTTTGGCTTAGGTATTAACTAACATCATTCATTAAAATGACTTATTATACATAAAATTGTAAATTTGTCCGTCTATTCTAATATTTTTAATGTGTTAAAATTTTCCAGACAAAATTAATTTTGCAGGCTATCAAATAAATGTTTACAAAATTTGAGGATTAAACTTATAATTTGATCAACATAAATGAGTTAATGGGAAATTTTGATAACTAAAATAATCAATGACCTAAATTTAATTATATTTGAAATTCCATTCCATGTCATTCCAGTGCTATTCCTATTATTGGTTTTCCTTTTTTTGTTAATTATGAAACTACTTAATAATTTTTAATAATTAATAATAATTGAAGAGTTCTTAATATTATAATTTAAATAATTATGTTGAATATGATTCAATGGCTCTTGAATATATTTTTATATAATATATGTCAAACAATAATCATATTAAACTACTAATTAGTTTAATTGTTTATTTATTTTTTAATGCAATGAGAGAGTATTTACCTAAACTAGTAACTTCTGTATTTGCTATCAAAATAAATATTTAGTTCCATGCTTTATTGCTGTGGATTCATTTTGATTAAATATGGTTCAATAATAATTTAATATTTTGTTGAATATGACTCAATAACTATAATGTTATATTTATAAAGTTTTTTAAAAATGCTATACTTTATAAAATTTTAAAAAGCTTTTTTAATATAATATTAAACACTTAATGACAATTAAAGTTGTATTGTTAATTAGGAATTAATGTGTGGAAATTTCATTTTTTATTGGTGGGGTTTGCAATCATGTTTTGCCTTTAATGATGCGATTAGTTGCATAATGTGATTATTGTTTTTGTCAATTCAAAATCATTCATACCCTTTGGCAAATAGTTTTGTGAAAACCCTTTTTTCCATTTTACATATATATAATTTTTACAAGTTTTGTCTACTTTCGGAATATTCTTGGGTATATGACTTGGATCTCATAATTAAAAAAATAGAATTAATTATCCTACTTAAAAAATATAGTGAAATGTATCCTTTTAAATGTTACTACGCTTGTATTCAACTCTCGATTGTATTTGTTGTTATATACCATCATGGGCTTATTATAGGATATTAAATTTTCATCGACAAATTAATTAACACATTTCCATCTACATTTTAATATGTCATGAATTCGACATCTACATACAAGGTAAATCAACATTTCCACATTATAAAAAAAAAAGGTAAATATTCAAATACCAACAAAATATCACTAATATAGATATAATATTAATATTAATAATTTATAACTTATATATAAATGGTGAAGGCTTATTTATAAATTTTTGTATTTTTATAACATGTCCATTGACTTCAACATTTTATCGATTTTCCATAAAATTGAGACAACAACTTCGACATTTAAATGCTTAATAAACGTGGAAAATCTATTGTCGAACGGATATAATCATACTACCTCTGCCAATATACAATAAGTTACCACAAGTTAAAATGTTTAATTATAAGTTGGTTTATGAACTTTATAATCATGACTATGAAGTCCATAAACTTGAAAAAGTTCAACTAACACGTTAATAAACTTTCAATGTTATGTCTATTGTCTACTAAGTCAATATCATTAACTCCAATTTTATATAGAATATGGTAATTGTATTTATTAAGGATTATGAAATGTGACATGACAAATGCGACAAATGCGAATGAATTTCTAGTATGTAAGTTTAGATGAAATTAAGAATTAAATTATCTTTATTTTTTTAGTACAATAAATGTGGGTGGAGATTTGAACTCGTGACTTATTAATTAGAGACATGTGTCGATTTTAAACTATGAAATTTTT